AAGTCTAAAAGCAATAAATGCTGGAGAGGGTGTGAAGAAAAGGGAACCCTCTTACACTGTTGGTGGGAATGCAAATTAGTACAGCCACTATGGAAAACAGTGTGGAGATTTCTTAAAAAGCTGGAAATAGAACTGCCATATGACCCAGCAATCCCACTTCTGGGCATACACACCGAGGAAACCAGATCTGAAAGAGACACGTGCACCCCAATGTTCATTGCAGCACTGTTTATAATAGCCAGGACATGGAAGCAACCTAGATGCCCATCAGCAGACGAATGGATGAGGAAGCTGTGGTACATATACACCATGGAATATTACTCAGCCATTAAAAAGAATTCATTTGAATCAGTTCTAATGAGATGGATGAAACTGGAGCCCATTATACAGAGCGAAGAAAGCCAGAAAGATAAAGACCATTACAGTATACTAACACATATATATGGAATTTAGAACGGTGGTAACGATAACCCTATATGCAAAACAGAAAAAGAGACTCAGATGTATAGAACAGACTTGTGGACTCTGGGAGAAGGCGAGGGTGGGATGTTTCAAGAGAACAGCATCGAAATATGTATATTATCTAGGGTGAAACAGATCACCAGCCCAGGTTGGGTGCATGAGACAAGTGCTCGGGCCTGGTGCACTGGGAAGACCCAGAGGGATCGGGTGGAGAGGGAGGTAGGAGGGGGGACCGGGATGGGGAATACATGTAAATCCATGGCTAATTCATTTCAATGTATGACAAAAACCACTGCAATGATGTAAAGTAATTAGCCTCCAACTAATAAAAATAAATGAAAAAATAAAATAAAATAAAATACTCTGCTGCTTTCTCCCTCGAGTCATTCCCTATCTCTGATCCCCTGTCCTTCTCCATCTCTCTTCTCTGTGGTGTAAAATATTGAATCAAAATCCACTCTCCTACAAACCAGTTCCTCAGACCTCTGTGCTCTTCCATTGCTATCTTTTCTTTCTCCTCTTTACTCCAAACGTTTATGAGGGTACTGCGCACACCCACTCTGATATTTCCCATTTACTCCTCAACTCTTGGCCCCCTGGAATTGCTCCCCAATACTTTACTTTCTCCTGGGTAATGTGATGTCCAATATGCCAGCTTCAATCATGTCCTCAGTTCACACCCGCCAGGCTGCAATGACAACACTCTTTGGTTCAGCCTCCATCCAGGTACCCTCTTTATGTCTCATTCCATAGGGCCTTTTCTTCCAAACCTCACCACCTGTGAGCTCTCTAGTGATCAGCCGTTGACTTTCTCTCCATTCCCTACACTTGACAAAAGTATCAATTCAAGCTCTTTATGAAAATGGCTCACCATACTGCCTTTAGCACTGACCATTTTCTGTTCATTCAACACCTTTAATGAGAAGTCTCAGGAACTTCTCTGGTAGTCCAGTGGCTAAGACTCCAAGCTTGAAATGCAGGGAGCTCAGGTGCCATCCTTGGTTGGGGAACTAGATGCCAAAACTAAGAGCGCACACACCTAAACTAAGGATCCAGCAGGTCACAGCAGGACTGAAGATCCATGTGCCACAGCCAAGACCCAGCACAACCAAATAAATACATAAATAAAAATAAACATTGAAAAAAGAAGTTCACGTTGACCCTGGTGGAACCAACTTTGATCTATGTGTTTGGCTCTCTGTGTAAAATCGCTCTGATGGAGGGAGCCTGTTTGCTCACCATGTCACCTCACCGTAGTACTGGGGGCACGTGGACACACAATATGCAATTTAAAAGTAGCCGGGTTGATCTCTTAAGAGTTCTTTATGTGAGAAAAGGATATTGAGTTTCTCATCTCCCCTGCTGGCTTAATATGTCCTTTAAGGTAGGCTTCCCTGGTGGCTCAATTGGTAAAGAATTTGCCTGCAATGTGGGAGAAATGGGTTCGATCCCTGGGTTGGGAAGATCCCCTGGAGGAGGGCATGGCAACCCACTCCAGTGTTCTTGCCTGGAGAATCCTCATGGACAGAGGAGCCTGGCGGGCTACAGTCCATGGGGTCGCAAAGAGTCAGACACGACTGAGCGACTAAGCACAGCACAGGCATAATTAATTCTTTCCTTCGAAATGTCATTTTGTAAACTTTTTCGGGGCTTAAACTCTTTGCAATGGCTTCCCATAGGTTTCAACCGGGAATCCCAGCCTCTTACAGAACACACGGTAGGATCCTTGTGGCTGCTTCTCGTTATCCTTTGCCACTGTGCATCCCGACACCCTCTTCACAAGCCCTTAGCCATACTGTCTCATTTTTTTTCTTTTTTAAGTCTTTGAATAAGCCCAGCTCTTTCCAACCTTGGGACCTATGACCTTGGTATTCCTTTTACCTGGAAGCTTTCTCTTTTCCCCTTAAATGTCATGTCCTGGAAGAAATGTCCCCAGGCTACTCATTTGCAGGTGGTACCTATGCTCTTTTTTTTAATCCTCCATAGCACCCGTCTTTTCCTTCAGAGCATGCCTCACCATGTGTGTTTAGAGAGCTCTGTGATTGCTACACTTTTCCTCTGTCGCCCACATTTAGTTATAAGAGGGAAAGAACTGGACTTCCACAGTGGTCCAGCGGTGAAGAATCCGCCTGCCAATGCAAGGGGCATGGGTGCAATCCCTGGCCTGGGAAGAGTCCACACGCCAAGGGGCAACAAAGCCCATGTGCCACAACTTCTGAGCCCGCACAAAAGAAGCCACTGCAAGGAGAAGCCTGTGCACCGCAGCTGGAAGGTAGCCCCACTCGCTGCAACTGGAGAAAGCCAGTGCACATAGCAATGAAGACCCAGTGCAGCCAAAAAACAATCGTTTTCAAAACAGATAGAAAAGACCATTTCCGTCTGGCTCACACACATCATCAAGTATGAGTCCTGGCCTCAGCAGATGTTTAAGAAATCTTTGTGAGTGAAGGAATGAATCTTCCACAGCAGTGTGTATGGTTGGTCCATGTGGAAGCTTAATAAATCATGCCTGATGGGAACTTTTTTAGTCCTAAAATAACTTTATCAAGCCCTATCATTGCTTATCACACACACACACACACACACAAAATTCAACACACAAATGAACAACAGCCCCATCACTACCACTGGTAGTCAACACAACGAGAAGAAACACCTGCTACATTTGCAAACCCATCTAATAAATCCATCCCTAAGTTACAGCAGACAATGACAAATGAGGCAGCGGCGGCACTACCGACAATAACCAAGAGGTAGACATGACCCAAATGCCCATCGATGGATTGATGGACAGACAGAATGTGATCTGTCCAAACAATGGAATAGGATTCAGTCACAGAAAAAGAATGAGGCACTGGTCCATGCTACAATGTGGATGAACCTTGAAAACATTCTAAGTGAAAGGAGACAGACACAAGAGGTCATATACTGTATGACTGAGTCTTTTGAAAAAGTCAGAAGAGGCAAATATATACAGAAAGAAAGCAGATTGGTGACTCCCAGGGGCTGCGGGGAGGGAGGGATGGAAGACTTCTGCCTGATAGATCCCAGGTTTCCTGTTGGGGCGATGGGAACGTCTGGGACTCTGCAGTGGTGATGGATGTGCTACACTGCAAATGTACGTAATGCCACTGGACTGTATGTGACAAAATTGTTAAAAATTTTATATGTATTTTGGCACAATAAAAAAGGGAAAGTGATAGAAAATTTTTCAATTTACATTATTTTGAAAAATCTCCAAACTGAACTTCCAAATGAATGAGGTACCAGGTAGCAAAGTTAGATGGTTGCCTTGGTTACAAGAAGGGGATGGCAGAGGATGAGATGGTTGGATGGCATCACCAACTTGATGGACAGGAGTTTGAGCAAGCTCTGGGAGTTGGTTATGGACAGGGAAGCCTGAGGAGCTGCAGTCCATGGGGCTGCAAACAGCTGGACACAAGTGAGGGATTGAATTGAACTGAACTCGGTTACAAAAAAATAGATGTTTCAAACCAATACACTTCTTCACAAATACTAGTTTTTCAGAGGTTAGGAGAAACAGCCCTAAGTGCCTTGAACCTATAAACTGTTCTGGACAGAAGCTGGGTGTGTCTAGGCTTCTCAAGAATTCCACAGAACAAGGTTTCCTAAATGTTTACATATACCTCTCCTGAGATGCACATGGCATGGTTACTTCCAGTGGTATGCAAATAAACATGGTGTACTTTTAATCATCATTTTTGTTTAGAGTGATTAGCTTTTATGAATAGCCAGCAATACTGGTTTCCATTGGCAATGGTGATAGACTGTTTCTTTTCTGCTTGTTTGCTTGTTTTTAATCCATTCCATCCATTCATAGGCAAGAACGTTGACTTTTGGGTGCACAGAGGTGTGTTACCACCACCATCAAAATGCAAAGCAGTTCTACAAAATTCTCTTGCTGCCTTTTGGCAGCCCAGGTCACCCATACCTCTGGGGCTAAGCAGTAAAGAAGACACTAGGGACACAAGCCACAATGTGCTTGCAACTCCAATGAATGTTGCTAAGATAAGGAGCACTGGGGCGGGAACCTCGCAAGGGGTGGCTGCAATGGACAGATGGATTGGGCGGTGATGGAAACATTCCTAAGACAGACTGTGGCAGTGGTTGTACAGTTCTGTAAATACCATAATGATCCCTGAATTGTACACCTGGAATAGGTGGATTTTACAGTATGTAAATGGTATCTCTAAAAGGCATTAAAAAAAACAATTACATAGTGTATGATTCCACACAGAACGACATAATTTCAGAAAAAGCGAAGCTGCAGAAGCAGAAAAGAGATGGTTTCCCTTTAGCAAAACACGCAGTTAATGGGAAAATGTTTTGATTGAAACCAGCCTCATGAGAGGATGCACGCAGGTGAGTGAGGTGAACCTGGAGGGGCTGGGATGCCAGGGATGAGCTTAGGGACGGCTCTGCAGGATGGAGCCCCCTAGTTGCATAGAGGTGCGCCCCGCAGTCATTCCAGGAATCCTGGGGTCCCACCCCACCCCCTGAAACCAGCGCACACTTACTGTGGCCGTGCCCGAGACGGTGTGCGCGCTCGTGTCCGCTGCGCTCTGCTCCGAGTGTGACTGCGCGGGAGGGTACAGGTTTAACGTGTGCTCCGGGACGGTGGTCTGGCCCGTGTACTCCGGTGCGGGGTGGGGGTGAGGGGCCGTGTATTCCGCGGGGATGCCGTTCTGAGGGGGGGCAAACTGGGCCGAAGCGTAAGGCTGAGCCATTGTGTCAGGGGCAGCTGCTGCTTCCTGATTACCCTGGAAAATCAGAGAGAAGGAGAGAAACCATGAGCGGGCAGCAGGCAGAACCTTCTCCCCAGGCCCAGGAACAACAGCTCCCCGGATGTCGCGTGGGTGCCAGGGTGGTGCCAAGAGCCTGAGATGGGTACATCCTAGGTCATCTTCATCAGATGGTATAAGGATGCAGTAACCATCACCAGGGTCTCCAAGAACCCGCCTGCCAATGCAGGAGGCACGGCTCCATCCCTGGGTCAGGAAGATCCCCTAGAGAAGGGAATGGCAACCCACTCCAATATTCTTGCCTGGGAAATTCCACGGACAGAGAAGCCTGGCAGGTTCAGGTGGCCACAAAGAGTCAGACAGGACTTAGCAACTAAACAAGGACAGGCCAGTCATCACTGAGACAGCCCCACTGTACAGAATTGAGGTTCTGAAAGGTAGAAGACCCTTTTGCATATCATCCAGCCAAGAGCCACACACTGTGAGAGTCTGTGTTCTTCTGCACTGGATTTTTCTGGCAGGTCTTTCTAATTTCATTCCCATTTTGGAACGTGTGAGCCTGTAGTTGTCGCCAGTGACAGCGGAGCCTTGATTTGATACTTAAAATGCCAAGAGAGATTAAATTGAACGTGTGTGTTCTTGAGAGGAGAGACAATTCGTGTAAGCATTAGAATTTAATCAACATTTTATGTGCTTTGGCTCACATAATGGGATGGGGGTGGTGGTCCTTGCAAGGGTCACTGTGTGTGTGCGTGTGCGTGTGCGTGTGCGTTTGATGGTCTCAGAGCCAACATGAAGCAGCTGATGAAAATTCAAGACCTAATTTGGACAACGATAGCCCTCAACGATAGTCTCATTTTAAGTGTCTCTGCAAAACATGGATTTGACTCTTAGCCTCATTAATCAATGCCTCTCCCCTGTTCCCTGACTAATTTTTTTTTTTTTATAAGCAGAGCATTATATAACAATTCACCCTTCAGATCTAGGCAAAACATGCAATGTGATAATTACAGTCAAGTCAAAAGAATAAAAAAAGAAGAACTCAAATGCTTCCCTTTCAGGAAACCTCTCTCTCCACCCCCACCTCCACAACTTTACTACCCTACACACACACACACACACACACACACACACACACACACACCCCATCAGGGTCTGTAACCCAGAGGTCTAAATTTTCCATGGTCTTAAGAAATGGGATTGCACAGTCAGAGAGAGAGAGAGAGAGCGAAAGCTTAGCAATTAAGCCCACCAAATAGTTTCCTCTCCCATTGTCTGTGGTCAATTAGATGTGACTTCAGCCCTCCTGTAATGATACCAGGGCAACAGTGTCAGAATCTCTCCCATCTCCAGAGTCCCTGCCACAGACATTTGAGAGCATCTCCAGCCCAAGCAACCTGAGTGCAGCAAAACCCATTATGACAGAGAGGGTAGAAGGAAAAAAGTTTATTCTCAGAGCGGTGCCAAGAGCTGGTGCATTTGTTTAGAAGGAACCTTAATTAGAATGTTAAAGATGACACTTGGAAGAGAGCAGTGCTTAGGATAAGTTTAAAACATTTTACAAGTGAAAACACCCCCAGCAGGGCCTTTCCTCCCCTGGACTAATTTCTCCAAATGTCTGTGCCATCAGAAGCAAAAATGTACAGCTGTGGCTTTCTTAGCAACGTGTTTTCATGGCACTTGGGGGCTGTGAGGGTCCGACTGTGCTGGGGTTGGATTGCTTGAGGTGCAAAGTTAACTGTCTGTCCTTGGGAAACCACATTCACCGTCACTGTTGCTCACTGTTCATCTTCTTCAAGGATAAGCCCGGTTCCCTCTCGGGGCTCCCACTCCCAGGCCACCTCGGGATCACGTGACCCAGCCTGGCTGACCAGAGGACTCGCCTCTCATGGCCACAGTGATGGGGCTCATGCCCGTCTCTCTAAGCTGGTTAGCGAGTTGACCCCTTGCCACTCCAATGAGGCGGAATCCTGGAACCTGACTGGTGTTCGGGGAGGAAGTTCCTCCACTACGATGACTGGCAGCCGGACATAATACCAGCTTGGAGCTACCAGGAAATGCCTCTTGAAAGGGGGCCTCCCTAAAGCAGAAGCTGACCCGGAGGAAAATGGAGCCCAGAAATGGAGATGCAGACCCACTGAGTCCCCCTGACATCATCTGAAGTCTCGGATCCAGCTCTTCCTGCAGTCAGTAATGCTGCTGTTTAAATTCCGTAACTCAGTAAATGTCTGTGTAAGCCCGCTTTTCTATTACATGCAAGCTAAAAGGTCTTGACTGATACCAAAAAAAAAAAAATCCTCTACTGTGTATTAGCTGACTAGCATTCTTTTCTTCTACAAGGCTGCTCAAGGAACATAGACTTGTGCACAGAAATTCCATACGATGCAACTTCTTTCTGGCTCATGAGAAGCCCTAGAAGCTTTGGGACCTTGAGAATCCTCCAAAGGGAAATACACTGGGACAGATTTCACTTCTGCCCAAAGATCTATTTCAGACTCTCCTGCCCCTCCCCTCGCTTGTCTCTGAAAGACAGTCTTGTAAAAAATACCAAGGGAGACTGAAATGCTCACAGGATTAGGGGTAGAGAGAGATGGTCAAAATAGACACAGCTTTCCTTGCTCCGCCTTCAGTAGAAATGCTTTCACGGGAACGTATACGCCCACCTAGCCTTTCCGCATGGCAGAGCCATCTCAGGAAGAGAGAACCAGTCCCACGTGCTTCTGCAAAACAGCAGCCGCTCCGTGCTAGGATCTGACCCCTCTCGGCACTGCCCAGGGAAGGGCTTGACCTCAAGAAGTGTATGGTCTCTTTTATTTTCTTAACAACATCATGTCTTTCTGCTCGCTGCCTCCTGTGCTTGGGAAGTTCTCCCCTACTCCCTTGCCTGGCTAGTCTAGCTTCTCTCTCTCTCTCTTTCTTTAAAAATATTTATTTATTTACTTTTGGATCTGCTGGGTCTTCATTGCTGTGCGGGCTTTTCTCTAGTTGCAACGAGTGGGGGCTACTCTTAACGTGCGGTGTGTGGGTATCTCAGTGTGCTGACTTCTCTTTGGGAGCTCGGGCTCTAGGCACACGGGCTTCAGTAGTGGCTCCTGGGCTTGAAAGCACAGGCTCAGTAGTCATGGCAAATGGGCTTTGTTGCCCCCTGGCACGTGGGATCTTCCCGGACCAGGGATTGAACCCATGTCTCCTGCATTGGCAGGCGGATTCTTTACCACTGAGCCACCAGGGGAGCCTTCGGCTTCTCTTTGAGGTTCCAGATCCCCCAGCCAGTCTTTTTGACACTTAAACCACATCAGTTGCCTGTCCCCTAAGCTCTACCACAGCTTTGCTCACTTCCCACGTAACTGGAGGTACCGCCATTGCCTGCTGATTTGCCTGTGAACATCCGGAGGGTGGGAGACCACGTCACATTCTCTGCTCTGTCTCCAGGCTTCCGAAGCACACTGGCTGCAAAGTCAGCAGACCCCAGTGCTTGCTAAGTGAGTGCATGCCTGGCCAGTGAACTCTGGGCTCTGTGTGGCTTCACTGGGCAACAGGATGGAAGGGGTGGGGATAGGAGAGGGATCGGCAAATGAACTCTGGAAGAAATCTGGCCCATGACTTGTTTTTGTAAATAAAGTTTTATTGGGACACAAGCATGCTCACTGTGCCCCAATGGCAGAGTTGAGTCACTATGACAAGAGACCATACAGCCCACAGAGCCTACACTATTGAACTATCCGGCCCTTTGAAGAAAAGGTTTTCTCATCGTTGTGACAGACTTATCATGAATCATGGGGCCAACAATTAAGAAGCTGTGGTTGCACAAAGAGTTTGGGCAGGAAATACAGTCAGTGGTGAAGCAGGGAGAGAAAAGGGGGTGTCTTCTCCCTAAACCAAGGAGGGGTGGCCCAGTGTTAAGCACGGTGGAAGAAGGATGCCATAGAATCTTTTCCAGAATCTTCTCTGAATCACCAGACATCTACATTATACACACAAGTGCATCAAACCCAGCAAAAGTGGGCTTATGAGAAGACCAATGATGGCATCACACATCTGTGCTCCATCTGAAGGACACCCTCTTCAAACCAGAGCCCAGAAGACAAAGCGAGTGACACTCACGCCTAGTGGGCACCAGGCATGGTGCTGAGCGTTTTACAGCAAGAGTCCTCAAGCAAGGATGATCTCTTCCCAGGAGACATGAAGCAATGACTACAGACACTTCCGTTTCTCACAACTGGGAATTAAGTGGCACCACCGGCATCAAGAGCATCTAGGAGGCCAGAGATGCTACTGAACACCCTAAGATGCACAGGATCACCCCACCCCACCACCAAGGATTATCCAGCTCTAAAGGTTAATAGTGCCAAGGTCTAGACTCTGCTTTGCATGTTTTGCATCTGGAATCCCACTTTATTTCGTTGTAAAGGATACCATGGCCCAGAGCTGGTAAATAATATTGTGAGACCACAGCCACAGGTATCTCTGAGGAAAGCCAGGAGTTGAACCAGAGCTCGAGTTTATCTCATGCCAAGGTATCTCTCATCTGGCAAGAAGATCCCCTGGTGGGGAGAAACGTTTCTGATTTTAAATAAATAAGCCACTCTCTGTCACATATACAGTGACCCTGAGACCCGTTTTCCATCAGGTGGCATGGCAGGTGCTAGGGTCAGTCAATCAGTTGCTCAGTCGTGTCCAACTCTTTGTGACCCCGTGGACTGCAGCCCTCCAGGCTCCTCTGTCCGTGGTTTTTTCCAGGCAAGAGTACTGGAGTGAGTTGCCATTTCCTTCTCCAGGGCATCTTCCCGACCCGGGGATCGAACCCTCATCTCTTTCATCTCTTGCACTGGAAGGCAGATTCTCTACCACGAGTGCCATGTGGGGAGCCCCCAGGTGCTAGGGTATTTGATTCAAAGAGGCCAGGCTTCCGATTGCCAGGCTGGGGAGGGGATCCTTTGGCAAGTGTTAGAATAGAAGCTTGGGAAACTTCCGCCACCTTAAGCCTGAAGCCTGGCTTCTGAAGGCTCTGAGGTTCC